TCAATGTCTCATGGCTAAAAAGTGCTTGTGAAAAAAATTGTTATACAAATTTTATGTACCCCCTTTAAGGGGCTGTATCTTAATAAGGGATGCTCCAATGAAGTTTCTTTATATGAAATATCCTATTTTTTTTTTCGATGCGAAATTACCTTCTTAAATGTTTTACACTTATTCCGTTACACCCTGTATATCAAACTGATGGCGTGTATCCTCAAAGATATTGCAATTATATCGAACTATAGCGAACATTCGATCTTGCATCTCTTGAAAAAGGAAGAAAACAAGCATCTGTTCTTGTTTTACATAAGTTGTTGAATGGTAGACATGATTCCCCGGAATAGATTCAACATTTAAAAATAATACAATTTTTTGTGCAAGAGCTCAAACCAATTTATTGTTCAAATATCACCAGTGAATTTGATGTGAAATACTGCAAACCAGCTGTCTACCTCATGTGATATCATTAATTGTAAAATAAATCTCGTACACATATTCAACTTATGGTTTATTTTAATTTTTTTTTGTTTTGTTTGAAATGCATTACCTTCTGAATGAAATAGTACTTTAATTTGTGTAATTGAATTATTGATTTTTGCCCTATAAAGTGGAAACTGTTGGACAATAAACACTATTTGTTTTGGTTGGTTTCCGGATTTTGCCGTGGTCTTCTTTGGTTATAATCTCCAAACGTTTCGACTGCAACTGCGGCAGTCATCTTCAGTGGCGTGGTCAATGTATTTTTTTTGACGTATCAACTGACACGTCAAGAAGAGTACAGTTGAAGATGACAGTTGCAGTCGAAACGATTGGAGATTATAACCAAAGAAGACCACTGGTTGGAATTTTTTCTGTCGAAAATGATTAACCTGGTCGAGATTCATGTCTGGCAGATCCGACCTGCAAAAATTTCAGGCCTCCTACAAGATTACGAGAGCACTGTCTACTGAGACCAATTTGCTGACCTGCATACCTGCAAAATAGTTATACCCCTCAGAAAACTCAGAGAGATTCTCATCTGTGTCAAAAAGTCATGGCATCTGGTTGTTACCTACAACCTGAAAACACAGCGAACATATTATTGAAGTAACAACTTTACGTAGAAGTTATGTGAACCCTAATATACCATATTGACCTAAGTTTTTACGTGCTACGACATATTCACATAAATTATTTATGCCCAAGCACAAGTTGTACTTTTGTGGGTCTTCTTTTATTTATTAACCATTGTAAACTTGATTTGAAATATTTAGTAAATAAATATTATTATTGTTATCATTATTATTATGTAAATATGGGGTAAAAGCATCTTAGAAATAAAATGAAGTAGTTACATAAATGTATTTCACACGAGTACACATGTTCCGTTAATTTTATGTCATATTTACGTAAATGTAACAAGTGTATTTGCTGAGTATTACCAAAATACTTTCCTTACTTTCTTCAATGGTAACTATAATCGATTTCGCGACAGTACGTTATTTTGATCCGTTATTCAGATCGAAAGTTTTGTGAAATTCAATAAAGTTTCACTGCATAATTTGAAGTGTTTTTGCACTGACCTTTGATCTGGGATCCCAAAGCATCGCAAGGCGCTCTGTCCAGGGCACACAGCAGCTGTTTCTGCATGTAGTCGTTTCCGGGTAGTCTTTGGCTTTTCGTTATCGTGGCCATTAACAGAACAAACAAGACCAACGAGGTCCATTTCTTTATCAACTTCTGGGAATGCATTTGTTGTATACTTTATCATTAGAGCACAAACTGCGACTGAGTCTGTCGCACACTTGACTTCTATTAAAATTCGTAAATCTTTCACTGATGGCTTTTACCCCGAGAATAAAAATAGTTGAGTAGGGCAGAAGCGCATACGAGGGGAAAAAGATGTTCCAAATAGGGACAGTTATTTTTTCGCTGTGAAGGAAAAAGTAACACATTTATGTTTACTTATTACAAAAAAAAAAAAAAATCATTCAAAAACTCTGGCTAGAGTGTGAAATTATTACCATATGTGAAATCAATAATTATTTTTATTGAAGTTTAAGGGTTGGTGGCACAAGGCCAGTCTTGCGGCTTTGGGGCACATAACTTTTTTGTTACAAAAAAGTGAAAAATAGTTCAAAACTAATCACTCTCACATATATAGAAGGAAAAGGAAAGATGATGGACCCCTTAACAATTTTTTCATAAAAGTTGAGTTTTTAACCTCTCACTAAGAAAATTGGAATAATTTCAACAAAAAAAGAAGCAGGCGTGTTTAACAGTTTCCATTCAAGTGGTTGGAGTTTTGAGCTCGAAGTAGCGAGAAGTTGTAAGGAAGACCTGCAGGATCAACCGTTTTCGGATTTTTTTACTTATTTTATTTCTCATCAGCTCATAGGTACAAATTACATATCACACATAAAAAAGTATTGCCAGTGAAATGCTCGATAAAATCAAAAATTGATAGTTAATGGAAACTTGCAATCAGGGCTTTCTGACATATCGATACCCTTATTAATATGTTTGTGCAAGTATTCTTAGTGAAAATGCAAAAAGTTTGAATACGGAAGTTGCAGACCCATCAAAATTTGGTTTTTTTTCATCTTTAATGTGGGGGCCTCTCATCTGGTCCTGCTTATGTGTTTGTATTGTTTGTGGTTGAATCCAACAGGGCCTCAAGACATGACATTGAATTTGTTTTTATGGAAGATTGTTATCTGAGTCTTTTTGAATAATTTCAAATTTTCCAGTGACAGAGGTTTCCCTCCAGGTGTTTCCTTCAAATTATTAATGATGACGGGTCACCGGGACCGCAAAGTAACTATCAGGTTTACGTCTAAAAGTACAATTTTGTTTCATTCAATATCCATCAAAATGATCCGTCAATACCGTGTAGAACATCCAAAATTTCATCAAGAGTTTTAGAGTCCATTTGAATTAGTTTCAAACACAAGCTTGTTTTCCTTGCCTTTTGAGAACTCTGAGTTGTCCATTTTTTACTAGGAAGCTATCGAAAAAACAAAACCATATTTTTTTATGACACCTCCAACAATCATCTGTTCATAATACTAGTTTGTGCAGGTAGTCTACAGTAGGGGTTCCCAACCGACGGTACGCGTATAGTTCAAGTAAATGATATGGTGCAACCTACCTTCCAACAGATCCCCTTTAGTAACATAGTTAGGGAGCTAACTAATTTCGATATTCAATAATCATTTCTAATTACATAAGAATCACAATGAAAATGATAATGATATACTATTTTACGTACAGTTGAGAAAGGAATTTCGGTCAAATCTGATATTGCTTGTAATAGTTTGTTTACCTCGAAACCAAACTTGAGATGTAGATTCTTATATGCATTGACACATACTCTCTGTTTCAATATTAAAATGCATCCGAATCCTATTTTTGTTAATGGATCACCCTATATTGTTTCGCATTATCAGATGAACAGATATGGTATAAAGCTTATGGTTCGTTAGCTATGAATTATTTGAGTTGAAAACGAGCCACCCTGAATAACTTTTGGAACAATGATTTTCAGGAAAAATAAAAAAACACCTCATCCCAGTATGCAGGGGGACACATTTTGACATATTCACATATACAGTGCATTTCATTCACAACGAACCACCCTGAATAACTTTTGGTGCAATGATTTGCAGGAAAAATAAAAAAACACGTCAACCATAGTACACATTTGATGTTATTTCCACCCGCAGAGCATGTCACCAATTTTTTGTTAATGGATCACCCTATATTGTTTCGCATTATCAGATAAACAGATATGGTATAAAGCTTATGGTTCGAGAGCTACAAATTATTTGAGTTGAAAACGAGCCACCCTGAATAGCTTTTGCAACAATGATTTTCAGGAAAAATAAAAAAACACCTCAACCACAGTATGCAGGGGGACACATTTTGACACATTCACATTTGATCTAACTTTCCCTGTCGCAAACCAAGGCCATATTACCATTTTTTTAATGGATCAATTGTTTTGCATTTTAGATGTTGCATGATAAACAGATTTCAACAAAGTAGAATACATTATGGCCTGAAGTTCATAATTTGGAATGAACTTCTGTACAATATTTTACCTAGGTTTCATAGGTGTTTTTGTGAAGTATACTTTAAAAGTCTCATTTTGCCTAGTTAAGTTTGAATTCGATATTCTCTTCATTTTGTATTTGTCTCATTCTACAATAACCATTACCTACCAGGTGAAGTTACAATTGGTATTTCGATTTTTGTGAATTCTTGAGAAGCAATGGTTTATAAACTTGGAGAACGGATTGAAATAGTGAGTTTGTACTACCAGAAGGGTAATATTGCTAGAGCTGCTGCCCATATGTTCAATGATAATCATCCAGGATGAAATGTACGACACAAAAACGTTTCGGAATTATTGAACAAATTTATGGAAACTGGATCTATCAACAATAAAAAGCATAACCGTTCAGGAGTTGTCAACGATGAAGCTATTTGTACTGCAGTTTTAGGGCACGTTGGACTAATGGAAAATTAAATTGATGGATATAGCCGTTACTACGAGGTAGGAAATAATAATGAAGAGAAAAGAAATGAAACTTTCTATGTTTTTTACCACTTTTATTTGTAACTAACGTTGTATATGTTTGAAAATTTCCGTATAGGACAAAACTGCAGTAACGTCAGTTACAAATAGAAGTGGTAAAAACATAGAAAGTTTTATTTCTCTTTTCTTCATAATGGAAAATTCGCAATCTCTTACTAAGTTATCTCGAGAATCAGGAATCAGTCGTACAAATGTTTTCAGGATTCTTCATGAGTACAAATTTCATCCATATCAGATTAGACTAGTTCATGAATTGAACGAAGATGATTTCGATAGACGTATCGAGTTCTGTGAAAGACTCACTGAACGAATCAACTTGCATCAGAATTTCTTGTATAACATTTGTTTTTCGGATGAATGCACGTTTAGTTTGAATGGAGAGGTAAATCGACAAAATTGTCGATATTGGAGTGATACGAATCCTCATTTATTCCGTCAAGTTCATTACCAACGACCTCAAAAACTGAATGTTTGGATAGGGATTTCAAATGACCACATCATAGGATCTTTTTTATCGATGATAATTTGACTAGTGATAAATATTTGGATATGTTGGAGAATCGAATATCATCGTGCATAAATAGGGCAATTGAGGAGGATATAAATTTATTCGAAAACGAAATAGTTTTTCAGCAGGATGGTGCACCTCCTCATTATGCAGCTCCAGTGCGACAATTTTTGGATGATCATTTTCCTGGTCGCTGTATTGGCAGGTCCTACAGAATGGCCACCAAGGTCTCCGGATCTCACTCCTGTAGATTTCTTTCTATGGAGTCATTTGAAATTGTAAGTGTATGAGATAGAATCAACATTGGGAGATTTGAGAGAGAATATCACGAGACATTGCAGAGAAATAACACCAGAGATTCTCCACCATGTGAGGGCGGCAATGGAAGCTTGTTTGTACCATTGTATGGAAGTTGGTGGAAACGTTTTTGAACATTTACTATAGAAAATTGTTTTCTTCTCATTGTCCAGTTATCATATTTTGATTCAAGAATTAATAAAAAATCTCTTTTCCCGATTTATTGCTTTTATATTTGTCTCTAGAACGAATTTTTCAAAATGATGTTTCCTGTATAATTGTAGATCTGTTTTTTTATTTTTCCTGCAAATCATTGTTTCAAAAGTTATTCAGGGTCAACGATTATATAATCGTTGATTCAGGGTGGCTTGTTTTTCAACTCAAATAATTAGTAGCTCCCGAACAATAAGCTTCAGACCATATGTTTATACTTTGTTGATATCTGCTCATGATGGAGCATCTGATAACGCGAAACAATATAGGGTGATCCACTTAAAAAAATTTTGGTGACATGCTCTGGGGGTGCTATAAGAGAAGTAACATCAAATGTGAATATGTCAAAATGTGTTCTCCTGTACACTATGGTTGACGTGTTTTTTTATTTTTCCTGCAAATCATTGTACCAAAAGTTATTCAGGTTGGCTCGTTTTAAACGGAATGCACTGTATTGTTGAGAAAGTGATATTGCATTTTAGTGTACAAGAAGTATATTTTTGTTAGATTCAGGTTAATCATATGTTTTCTGTTGCATCTTTTGTAGATCGTATCACTTCACAAGAAAAAAATATCCATTTTTAATTATTGGTAACTTCGCATGCATTTCAAACTGAGTACGCATAGACGCAATTATAAAACCAATTGAACCTTATTTTAGAACACCAACTATGTAATTTGATGAACAACAGAATGGTCGGCTTTCGGCTTGGTACCGGATATGAATTGTTGTGAAAGATTGACCTAACAACCGACTATAAAGCTCAGGAGTGGCTACAAAAACGATTTTTAAATTCAATTCAGTTCAAATATATTTTTTATGAAGTTAGCTATGAATAAAGTGAATGTAGAAATGCTAGATTGAGTTCGAGTCTTTGGAAAAACAAAGTTGAATCAGTTCATATGAAGTGATATCGTTTGCAATCAAAATTCAGCGACATCAGTAAAGGAGACGGCCCAATCAATAATCTACAATCAACCACAAAGGCGAATAGACTATTTCAGACAATGTCTATATCACCGATACAAATCAGAAATGTAAGTACCTACGTTTCCGATTTTTGAGATAAGTTAATCCTTAATCATCATTTTTATGTATATTCTATGTTGAGAATAGGAAATATTTGAGTGAAAGGTAAATATAGAAAGCCCATAATTTCGTAACAAATAAAAACGCACATATTTTGATCAGGAAAGTTTTGATCAGACCCGAGTACATAAGATTATGAAAATGATTTCATTATACTCATTAACAATGCAATTATATTTGCGTTTCCTCTCATTGTTATTTGATTGAATTATTGCTTATATAAAGCTTCTATGATTCATAATACGTTAGTGCAATTTCTGATTAATTTACGATTGAATCATCTGTAGATTTTAAAAAATGTTTCACATTTCTATTCGAAGTATTTCAGGCGTTGAAAATTTTCACCCTTACTAGATGAAATTATCAAAGAAATTGTATATTTTATTTTCTGGCTGTGACTCTAGAGAAGATAGCGTTACGAAAATATTACGTTAACGTCAACAAATGTGCAAACCGCTAATTTTTTAATTCCATGTGTAATATGGTTATAGGTTTTCTTTTTTAGGTTTTTTGTAGTAAAGTGAAATATTGGGTTTTCAATAGGATTTTTGAGATTTTGAAAAATTCTATAACTACCTATTAATCTTTCGCGTCGCAGTTTTTTTTTTAGTAAATTGAAGTAATCTTTTGTAAATTTCTGATAAACGATTGCGTTATCAAATCAATCCTCAGCGTAGATAATGATATGTCAACAAAACAGAACAAAAACGATGGCCTCCGGAATTTATCGTATAAACCACAAATGCGACTTCCAAAACGTGTTATAATAATACTATTATAGTCGATAGTTACGAGAAGTGGACAAGATGGCACAACGCACAGATGGCAACATTATTTCTGAAATAATTAAGGTATGCTTTTCGAGAACTGACATGTATTGAGTTTTTCTATTAAAAATGAATTTTTGCGATCTACGAAACTTCATGTTATTGTACAAAATGACAAAAATTTATGAAATGGCCGAACTTGAGCCATATTTTGCCATTATTTTCTCTCACATTTTCTTTATAAGATAGTAACAAATTGAATAGTTTTTCAAAATACTACTCCGAAGTCGTTCCGAAAATAATTGATTTTCTATCAGAGATAGTTTTAATCAAACATTGAACACCAATGGTTCAAATGCATTACGACTCGAACAGAAGTATGCTTGGAATTGTCACTAATTACTAAATGATTCTTTTAATTTTTTGTACTTTGAGTACATACTTGTTTATGGAAAGCTAAAATGAGAAACTGAAAAAAATCTATTGGAACTTTTACAGAACCCACAACATTTTTTGAATTATTAAAATCAGAAAAATATTTACCTACATTATTTTTCAATAAAAACAGAAATTGGTCGAAATTCAGTAGTAAAACATCTAGTGAAATTAAATTTAATGATTGATGAAAATAATAATCAAGTAAAAATACTATCATTAGGTACATATCATAACGAAAAGGATCAGAAAATGAAGACTGAAAAGTCCTGTTTTAAGCCAAGGTAAATAGCAGGTACTTCCCTTTTAGAAACTAATGGATTTACGTTAATAAAATAAAATTATTCCAGCTTATTCTACATGAAATTACTTCTTGTCAATTTTTTATCAGAACCTATTGTTCTCCACACGGATATGACAGAAAAGTTAGGATGAAGTGTACATAACATACAATATTAATGCAAAACAAATATACTATACATATTTCTTTTCTAAAAAAAATCCAAAACTCGGATTATTTCTCAAAATCAAAAAGATGGTTTTCAAAAGGGTTTTATGAATACAATTTTCAGTTCATATGCAAAATTTCAGCTGTATAAGTTGTTTTTGATTTTTTCCTTTTTTTGTAAATCGAACCAGCATTGTAGCAAAATACGATTCAGAGCAATCCATATAAAACTTATTACATATGGGAAAGAAAGGTTTTGACTTTCTACTTCTCCATCTTTATGAAAAGAAATGTGGGAATCTTCCAAAAAAGGAAGAAAGCAATTAATTTTGAAATATACTCTTTACAAAGATGTGTAAATCATGCGAGAAAATAACTTTCAGGCACAAACTGAAAAAGAAAGCCCTCTCGAAACAACGACTTTCATATAAACATTGAATTTTACTCCAAACATTCGTTATGGAATTGAATCAGATATTATTCACAGGATTTCTACACAATACGAGGTTTCTTCAAAAAATAACATAAATGTTTAAATTTCGCGGACTACGTACATTTGATTAGCGATTTTTATATTTTGATACACTCTACACTCGTTTCGAAAACATGTTCACAGTTTCAGCTGTTGATGAGTGCACAAAAGTGCACAAAAACACTTAAAATGTTGACAGTGGCATACGGTGATTGTACTCTGAGTCAGAAGTGTGTTGAAAAAGGGTACAAGCTGTTTACAGAAAGTCGAGAAGATGTGAATGACGCTCGCTCTGATGGACGTCCCAGCACATCAACAACCGATGAAAATGTTGGGAAAGTGAAAAAATTTGTTATGTAGAAACCCCAAATCACTTTAAGAGAAGTTACTGAGGATGTCGGCATATTGGTTGGCTCATGCCATGCAATTTTTTTGGAAATTTTGGACATGAAGCGTGTGGCAGCAAAGTTCGTTTCATAATTGCTCAGAAATTGTTGAATGACTTCAACGACGATCCAGATTTGCTTAATAAGATTGAAACAAAAGTCCAATCTTCCCAATGGAAGAGCCCAGGAGGGCCAATACCAGAAATAGAACGCCAAGTTAGATCAAATATCAAGATTTTACTGGCTGTTTTCTTCGATTACCGTGGCGTAGCGCATCAGTTATTGCCACATAGTCGCGTACAGTCAATAAGGAGTATTATCTTGAAGTAATGCGCTGCTTTCGAAAAGCAATATGAAGAAAACATCCGGTATTGTGAAAATGACAATGTTAGGCTTCTGCATCCCGATAATGCACCTGCTAAGTCATCTTTGTTCGGTCGTAATTTTAACGTCAAAAAAGAACAGCATAATCATACTTAGCCACCGTATTCCCCAGATTTGGTCTCCTGTGTTTTTTTCTGTTCCCAAGTCTGAAGAGACCCATGAAAAAACGGCGTTTTGCAACGATTCAGGATATAAAAAGCGAATCGCTGTAAGAGCTCAAGGACATATCAAAAAGTGCATATCAGAACTGCTTCGAGGATTGGAGAAAACGCTGGCCCAAGTGTATTATGTTAACTAGTTTAGTGATCCAATAATTCTCCTGAAAAAAAGGTTGGTTGGATAACAGGATCAATTTTTTCCTGAAAAAACAATTGTTTTCTTGCCGACGTTTCGAATTTAATTACATTCTTCTTCAGGGCTCGAAAAGTAGTTTTTTCGTGTTGATAATATTACGATTTTAAAAACCATCATACATATTAGATACATATTTAGTATTGAAGTTCTATTGATCTCTGAAAATTGGTTGTTTCCGGATTTATTTCACGCCAGAGGTTCCAATTTACCTTTTACTAATAACTAATCTCATTTGAATATCATGGACTCCTTTCATTGGGAAATAATTCATTATTATTTTTGAAGAAGGAAAATCAGATATCGATATACTTTAGAAATTGTGTACTGAACAAAGAAATTTCTATCAGTTGATTTATCTCAGACGAATGATCGATTATTTGCCTTGTTTATCAAAGTGAAATTTCATTTTGAGATTTCAATTACTTATATTATTAGAAGAGCATGTGCAGCCATAGTCATTGTTCAATATAATTTCATTACACTACATTTGCTACTTGTAATTTCTGGAATGCCTGGTAGAGTCAATGAGATACGTGGTAGCGGACTTGATATTCTGGTAGGAAATTTGTATGTATTAGATGTGATAGTTAGGACAATTAGAGTTTTCACATACATCAATTAGGCAACCTCAATAAAACAAAATGCAACCTTCGAGTAGGTATACGAAATAGGTATAAAGTTTCCAAATAACAATTAGCTTTATTAAACAATTCGTGAAACTCAAAAAAAAAATGTCAAAGTCTAGTCTCGCGACATTCAGCAAATGAGAAATATAATCGAGTTTAATCATGTCATGAATACATATTTACGAATCTATGATTCATAGCCATCATCAAAAGTCTCTCGCACTTAACTTTATTAATTCAGACGTTTCAAAATTTTATCGAATAATTGGATTTTGTTTCATTTTTTCTGTCCGCAATTTCTATTCAGAGTATCCTACTTCACTTTTGAATTTTAGTTAATTTCAAAATATAATCGAGTTTAATCATGTCATGAATACATATTTACGAATCTATGATTCATAGCCATCATCAAAAGTCTCTCGCACTTAACTTTATTAATTATTTTGTTTCATTTTTTCTGTCCGCAATTTCTATTCAGAGCATCCTACTTCACTTTTGAATTTTAGTTAATTTCAAAATATGATATCTTGACCCTAAAAGTCAAGAATAATATCTAGGATAAAAAGGATATTAAAATCTAGTTTTTCTAAAACTGATAACAAATCCGAATATCAATTTCAAAAAATGCGGTGTGTTTATTGAATCATATTTAGACACAACTTCGAACAATCGTATTCTGCCAATAGAATTGAAAAAATTTGAACTACTTCTTCTGGAAATGTTATGAAAAAAAACATATTTTTTTTGTATATTTTATGTGTCGAAAATTTTGCGCCCACGCTCTTAAGCATGTTTTCAAATGTTCTTTAAGAGTTATTGCTCAGTTTTTTAGATTGCTCGGCAAACCATTGACAAGAATCATTGATAAATGACTAACGTTTTTAATTGGTCATACCTACAAGAAACTCAATATGAACTTTAATAAAGTAATTCATAAAAATATATCATAAGCATATAGGTAAGTATAAATTGAAAAATTCCTTTGACGATCAAAATATTCTTCAAAACCAATTTGCAATGCGATGTTTCGTTCATGTATTGTAATTTGTTATACAAAGAGCGATTGACTGCAACCTCACAAATATAGGTATATCATCCACTTCTAATTTGGACAATATCTCCAATGTATGTATATTTGTTTCAGAAAACTTTAGATGTCAACAAGTATGCAACAAAAAAAACTATTGCCCAAGGACTCCTAGATGTTGCTTTATTAACAGCAAATGCATCCCAGCTAAAATACGTTCTGCAAGTTGGCGAAAAACACGAATTTTATGTATTGATGCTTTGTCTGATAATAATATCCATCTTGTTACAGGTTAGTATAACGTTGACTCATTTGAACATACGAAGTAACAGCTCTATATTATTGAAAAAGAAAATAAAAATATTCAAAATTGNATTCTATCTCTACGTCATTTATTATTCCATATAACGTTATTTACTTTGAACTAGTTGAGAAATGATATGCTTAATAACGTTGATAACGTTATTCACTTTGCACTAGTTGAGAAATGATATATTAAATTTTTTTATAGTATTCTATTTCTAATAATGAGATCAATAATAAGTAATAAGAATATATTTTGTTATTCAACATTTTGAAATTACAAAATAACGTAACATTACTATATAGTAACATATATTCTTTATATTTTTCAGCTTGTAGTGGCTATACTTTTTATTATAATAGGAGGACTGAATATAAATAAGCAGAGAGACTACAAAGCAGCCATTATTCTGAACGACATAATACTTATGTTCATTTTTATAATTTCGATCATTAATATTATTATTTCTGGTTTTGGTTTAGAATACGCAAGTCAACCATTAATGCTTATAGAAACCCCCGAAAAAATTTCAGGTAGACTCAATAGTTAATATTGTTTGGTGAATATTTTATTTAGATAACAAAAACTGAAGAAATATGTTCCTGTACTTCATTATCGAATATCGACATATATGTTAAATTATTACATTGAAATATATTGAGGAACACATGCGTAGATTGAAGATCTGATTTCTACAAAGGAAAGTTTTACAACTTTTGTTGAAAATAATTCTGGGGACGAAAAAATATTTTTCATCTTTTTATCATAGAGAAAAGACCGGAAAATCTTCGAAACTATAAATATTGCTAAAATAAATTAAACTCAATTACTTCATTTAGAGTCTCAAGAGTGAAATCTTTAAATACCTAACAAATATTTTAACACTACTAGATATTCAGTAGTTCATCTTGAAATTTCTTAAGCCCACATCCATCATTTGCAAATTAGGGTTAGCCCGAAAGCTCAAATAAATAAAAACCGGTGAAATAGAATATATAACAGCAAATCATTTTTCATGTGTCTCTCAAGAATAGGATTTATAGCACGAGCACAAAAGTTTCCATTGAAAATCAATAATTCGACTTCTTATTACTTTTCACTTGATACTTATTACTGTAGTAGGAACATAGTAATCGTGACATAACGGAATGTAGGTACTCATATAACGCCTCATTCAGAACAAGGGGCACCAATCGAATGAAGGGTCTTGTTCATTCCTGCAAAATGTTGGCTAACATAAATTCTTGCGATTTACAACTTATGACTGAGAGATGCTTAAATCCATTTTTTTTATCTCTTGCAAAGATATTTTTGGCACATGACTAATTGTTATGTCGCGATAAGATAGAATATTTTACAACAAAGCCGCAATGCAATTAGACTGCAAAATATTGTGAATCAATCCACTGTAGATGAAAAAGAAATCGTGTGAGAGAAGTGTCGTGTTCAGTATTGCCAGGTCTACCGTTTTTGCAGTAAATCTCCTGCTTTGGATCTCAAACTATTGTTCTAATTTTCAAATTATGAACACAAATAAACGTAATATACAGGCATAATAATATATACCTGCTACTTCTTAATCATTACTTTCGCCTTCATAAAAAAATATCAGATAGTTGCAAAGAGGGGTAATACAATGAATCATCAGAATTTCCTAGACATATCTCATTCTTCTAATTTGGAAAATCTACAAACTGAGATAAAATAAATAATCAATTAAATTTTTTACATTTGTATCCTCTAATTTCATTATCCTTCTATCTTTCAGCTAATTGTCTTCATTGAAAAATCAGTATTTGTAAATTTCTCTCTTGATTTACTACCAGTTTTAATAAAAAAGGTGGCAATAACGCTATAATCCTACTCATTAATAAATGCAATTCAATATCCGTCGTGGTATATAACAAAACAGTTAATGTTTGATAATGAACGTCTACCAGAAACCTCCAGTATAGGAGAGAATGCTCAAATTAGCGAAACAATTTCAAAT